AAAAAAAAAAAAAAAAAAAAAAAAGAAAGGAAAAGAAAAAGCCACCTGTACTGCAGACGGGGTGTCTTAAACAGCAGAACTTAACTTTCTCATGATTCTGGAGCATAAGAAGTTAAAGATCAAGGCCTGGCATGGTGGCTTATGCCTGTAATTTCAGGCGAGGCAGGCGGATCATGAGGTCAGGAGTTCGAGACCAGCCTGGACAACATAGTGAAACCTCGTCTCTACTAAAAATGTTTTAAAAATTAGCTGGGCATAGTGACAGGTGCCTGTAATTCCAGATACTCAGGAGGCTGAGGTAGGAGAATTGCTTGAACTTGGGAGGTGGAAGTTGCAGTGAGCCAAGATCGTGCCACTGCACTCCAACACCGGGTTACAGTGCAAGATTATGTCTCAGAAAAAAAAAAAGAAAAAAAAGAAAAAGAAAAAGAAATTCAAGATCAAGGTATCAGCAGGTCTGCTTTCTTCTGAGGGCCTCTCTTCCTGGCTTTTTAATTTACTAGCTTACTAATACTAATTGGGGTACAACATACCCATAGATGCAATTGATTAGACAGTAATTTCCTTAGATGCTGAAACAAAAAAATAGCTCCCAGTCTTTGCAGAGAGGCTGTTTTTATTTTTATTTTATATAGAGACAGGTTTTCACTATGTTGCCCAGCCTCCTGGGCTCAAGTTATCCACCCACCTCAGCTTCCAAAGTGCTGGGCTTACAGGCGTGAGTCACCATGCTGGGCTTATTTTATTTTTATTTACTTATTTGAGACACAGTCTTGCTTTATCATCCAGATTGGCATGCAGTGGCATGATCTTGACTCACCACAACCTCTGCCTCCCAGTCTCCAGCATTTCTCCTGCTTCAGCCTCCTGTGTAGCTGGGACTACAGGTGTACACCACTATGCCCTGCTAAATTTTTTTTTTACATTTTTTTGTAGAGATGGGGCTTCACCATGTTTCCCAGGCTGGTCTTGAACTCTTGGGCTCAAGTGATCCACCTGCCTTGGCTTCTCAAACTGCTGGGATTAGAGCTGTCAGCCACTGCACCCAGCAGAGGCCCTGTTTTTATACAGGTGTACATCTTCAATACTCAGCTAGGCAGTTTACAACCCTGCCTTAGCCTTTTCATTTTGCTTGTACAAAGCTTCAGGGTTGGCCAGATGGGAAAGTTTAAAGCCTTCTCAAGTCTTTCCTGAGTATGTGCATAGCTCTGGTCATGTTCATGGTCTTCTAGATTCTCAGGAATATATTGGAACTTTTCAAGGCCCTTATTCTTCCAAAGCTTCTCATTCTCCAGCCTTTTCTCTTAAGCTTCTTGGGCAGTCTGTTGTTTGCTCAGCTGTTATCCATTACTTCAGGCAGCAATGGCAAACACATTTACTTATAAATATTGTGGAAATATGTCCCCTGGTTAATGGCTTTAGCATTGGGACAAGGTGAGGGCAAGCCTTTTGAGTTGGTCTTCTGGGAGCCGTCAGACAAATACGACCAAATATTTCTTTATTTATAGTAATAATTACTATTCTATAAAAATGAGGTCTCTTCTACTGGTTCTAAGAATGTTGGCTGTTATTTCGAAGGATATCCCTGAGCTGAGGAGCCGGGGATGGGCCTAGGGTAAGTTAAAATGCCAGATTGTTTGCTGTTCTTAGAGATTCAGCCTATTTTTCTTAAGTGTTCCTGGGTTGCTGTAAGCTTTTGGTTAGTTTCCAGAGTTCTGAAAGAGCTAATACTGAGAGTTTTTGTTAGTTTTTTTCATAGTCAATATGGAGCAGTGAACTTTTGGAGTTTCTTACTCCACTATTTTCCTGTGTAGTTTTAGTAGATTATTTTTATTTTTTGTGCAGTGGTGTTTCTCAGCTCACTGCAATCTCCTCCTCTGGGGTTCAAGTAATTCTTCTGCCTCAGCCACTTGAGTATCTGGGATTACCGATGCCTGCCACCAGACCCTGCTAATTTTTGTATTTTTGGTAGAGACGGGGTTTCACCAAGTTGGCCAGGCTGGTCTTGAACTTTTGACCTCAGTTGATCCGCCCACCTTGGCCTCCCAAAGTGCTGGGATAACAGGCATGAGCCACGACGCCTGACCTTAGTAGTTATTTTCTTAAAGATGAATATATAATATCTTTCTGTGTGCTTATTTACCTTCTGCATTTCGTTGTTAATGAACATTAGTTCTTTTTCATTTTCCAAAAAATTGAGTTTGTGATATTTTTCTAAACAATTGAATTGTAGACTATCTCTGTAACTGCAATGCCAAATCAGCATCATGTCTGACACACAGTAGGTGGTGAATTCAGTTTAATGAATGACAGATAGCCAGACTTAGGTATACGTAGGTTGAAAAAAAGGGGCCAGTGGTGAGAAAGAGATTAAACATACAGAAAGGAGATTTGGAATGTCATTGAAACAGTGTCTTAAGGTCTGCCAAAGAGGATGGGATTCAGCTTACATGAGGAGTCAGTTGTAAAAATAAAGAAGTGACATGTGTACATCTCAGGTTGGCATGGAAATGTGAGAAGATGAAGGAATCGGTACTAAGGGCAATAGCTGCTTCTTCCTCTTCTTTTTTCCCTGCAAAGTAGGGTGGTGTTGCAGAATGTAGGGAGAAAAAAAGAAAAGGAACAGAGTCTTTAGGATAGTGGCAAAGACTTGGAATGATTATTTTGGGGAATGAGAAAGAACCCTGATCACAAAAAGATAAAGGAATTGCCAAGCGTGGCTAACAACTGGTTGAAATTGCAAAGTGTAGTGAGTGGCCTGGAGTGGTCGAGCGAGTTTTTTTCTTTCTTCCAGCCAGAGGCGGACTCCAGACTTTCGAATCTGAGGGGATTTAAAAAAGGTTGATATTGGCTGGGGAGCTTTTTGGGTTGGGGGCTTGCTGTACAGATGTGTTACAGAAAGGCGCACAATGAAAGGAAATTCATCTTAGAAAGAAGGGATATGTCCCAGAGAGGGCGATGTTGCTATGGGTATTTAAAATGATAGCCCGTGAATAGGTAAGCAAAGAAGGTGCTAGGCTAGGGTATCTCTCCACTCCACGGAAGTTTGTACGACTGCGAGGCGGAGGCAGGGAGGACCAAGCTCTCACCGGTGTGGCGTGGCTGTACCAGCTCTTACAAAATCTAGAAGGTGACAGAGCTAGCCTACAAGGAGTCGCCTTTAGTGGAGAGGGCTGAGGTCTCCGCAGTGACGGGGGTGGCAGTGAGACCCCTTAATTTTCAACTACAGGCCAGTCTCAGGTGGCCCAAAGGCGCTGAATCTAAGGTGGAGTCTCCCCTTCCGCTGGAAGCTGGAGGCGGCCTGACCCGGAAGTTTCTTTGCCATCCCGGAAGCAGAGCTGGGCAGCGGAGGCGCCGCCGCGGAGCCGCCATAGAGCCACCGCCCCCTCGCCGCTTTGCCGCTGCGTTGGGAAACCTGGACCGCTGCGGCGCCAGGTTGCCCTCATGATCCCGGGCGGGCGGCGGCGGCGGCGGCGGCAGAGGCGGCGGGAGGATGACCTCTTACAGGGAGCGGAGTGGCGACCTGGCTCGTTTCTACACTGTCACTGAGCCCCAGCGACACCCGAGGGGCTACACAGTATATAAGGTCACCGCCCGGGTGAGTGCCGGTGTCGGGCTGGGATAGGAGCTTGGATTGGGACCTGAGGGTTTGGGGTGGGGACCCTGGTGTGAGGGTACCTGACTGGCCCAGAGCTGAGGGTAGGACTGGGTGCTGCGCCTAGTGGCGGGACTTGCGTGTCGGAGGTAGGGATTTCTCGGTTAGTGGCTGAGTGTGGTATGCCCGGGGCTTCACTGTAGTAGGTCGTGGTAGAGTCCTCTTTCTGGGGGTGGGGCAGTCAGTGGTTGATGGTTTTAAATTGATGACTCAGTTCCCATCCCGTTTGGACTTTACTGAGTTGGCAATTTGCAGAAGTGGTTTTGCTTGCTCCAGGAGGATAATGCACATTTTAAAAATGTTAATTTATGTATTGTTTGGCTTATGTAATAGAAGTTATTTTTTCTCTTGACCTTTATTTAGTATCAGATTTGCTCTGAGAAGGACAGACTCTTGGGAACGATGTCAGTGTTAGGCCATCAACCGAGGAGCTGGGGATCTGGGCTTTGTGAAACCCTTGAGTTTTTCATGGTTTTCAGTAGGAGACGTGAGAAAAATCTGCTGTGGGTGGCTTGTGTGAGCTACCACGAGGGCATATTTTAAAGTTGGGAGGCTCCTTTACATCAACTAACTGGTCCAACTTTTGGTACCACTTTATGTTTCATTGCTTTTGTCTTGAGTTTTAGAGAGTCTGCATCTTCAATTACATAAGTATGTATGTATGTGACGTATGTATGCATGAATATGTGTGTATAGTAGGCATTTTGCACATATCACCCAATTTAATTCTCGTTTTAATGATGAGGAAACAGATTAAAGGAAGTTTAGTAAATTGCCCAACTTTACATTGCAAGGCAGTAGCAGATCTGTCTGGGATCTGAAACCAGTTTTGCCTAACTCCAAGTTATATAACTTTATCATTATTAATTTTTAAAGAAGATAGGTACAGATTAAGAAAGAATAGTCCAATATACATTTGGAGAATGTAGTAATCGTGTCAAGTAGGTTTTGAGAAGAATCTTAAAGGTTAAGTAGATTTAGATCAGGTTGGGGCATGGGAGTGGCACGTGGTGTGTGGAAATGGTGCACAATTCAGATAAATGTGAGGAGGGATGGATGAACATGTCTGTTGAAAGATAATGAGAAGACCCGGCCTGCTCTTGGCGATTGCTGTACTGAGAATAGAGGGAAGTTTGTTGCTCCCTGTTTGCACATAAGGTTGTTATATGGGGGGAGTGTTAATTTCAGGTTGTGTAAGAAATTTTGTGAGATTAAGGGGCCCTTATTATACCACTCTTGAAACCTTTGTAGTCATGGGGCCCTTCAAAAATCTAGACTTAGTTTCCTAACATGTAGGGTATGGAATCAGAACAGTTTTCAACATACTTAATATTTTGTTCACAGCATCCTACTTATCCCTTAATTTAACAAGATAGTTATATTGAATTAATCTAGTTGGATGTTTATGTCCCTTAGTGGATTCAGAGCAGTTCTCTATCATTGGCATTTGTTTCTGCTTATATTAACTAATAGATATAAGAACATACATGTGCATGGCACACAGTGCCTGAAAACCATTGTTGAATGTTTTCCTCTTCATTGTACTCAGCACACCCAATAAATGTTTAGATCCAGGTACTAAATAATCTGAGGGACATATGCCTGAATAAAGCATGGATCTTCCTTTCAAGGATACTTATAGTAGAAGAGAGTTTACTATACTTAAACAAGTGTAATATAACACACCAAGTTCCACCGGATATTACAGAAAAGAGCTGTGGGAAGACAGTTTGCTTCTGGACCAAGAAATCAGGGAATATGTTCCAATCAAGATAGGTGAAAGAGGAAGAATCCAGAGAAGAGGGTATAAAAAGGTAGACAGTTGAAGGCGAAGAGTCCTTAAAGACCTGGAGGTATGAATGTGTGTGGAACTTGAATAGGAAGCACTGAGTATAATTACTTGTATTGTTTCTTTACAAAAGGAAAAGTTAACCAGATTCAGGTCTTTTTTTTTTTTTTTTTTTTTTGAGACAGAGTCTTGCTGTGTTGCCAGGCTGGAGTGCAGTGTTATGATCTCAGCTCACTGCAACCTCTGCCTCCCAAGTTCAAGTGGTTCTCCTGCCTCAGCCTCCTGAGTAGCTGGGACTACGAGCGCGTACCACCATGCCCAGCTAATTTTTGTATTTTTGGTACAGACGGGGTTGGCCAGGATGGTCTCAATCTGTTGACTTCGTGATCTGCCCTCCTCGGCCTCCTGAAGTGTTGGGATTACAGGCATGAGCCACTGCGCCTAGCCAGATCTCCCACCTTCCTCCAGATGTAGTCTCGTTCTGTCGCCCAGACTGCAGTGGTATGATCTTGGCTCACTGCAACCTCGCCTCCCAGGTTCAAGCAATTCTCCTGTCTCACCCTCTCACATAGCTGGGATTACAGGTGCCTGCCACTACACCTCGATAATTTATCTGTTTTTAGTAGAGAGGAGGCTTTGCCATGTTGGCCAGTCTGGTCTCAAGCTCCTGACCTCAGGAGATCCAGCTGCCTTCGCCTCCCAAAGTGCTGGGATTACAGGTGTGAGCCACCGCTCCTGGCCAAATTCAGATCTTAAATATCTGAAGCTGTGACTTATTTACTGAACTAAATATTAACAGTATAAACTAGATGATAAAGTAACACATTGCCTTAGAACTAACCAAATTTACATACATGCATGTTACATATTGCTGTGGCTATTTGAACTTGAAAATTGCGTACACTGCCTTTTTTCTCCCTGTAAATGTTTGTCTTCATTTATTGCTCATGTTACAGATTTTGTTTTTAAAATATAAGGTCTGAGTCAACATGGAAACATACTTTTAAAATTACGGTGTTTAGTATTATAAAATATTTTTTGAAAGTTAAGAAGAAAAACACCTTTTCTCAGGATAATTAACCAGGTAAATAGTGTTCTCCTGAGAGAACTTCAGGAGATAAAATTAGGAATGTCTTCTGTGTGTTTTCTGCTGCTGATTTACTTCTAGCTTCAAGGAACAATTTTCTATATTTTTGATCCTTGCAGGGTTATTTCTGTAGCAGTAGAGTTTTAATCATTGGAAGTACCAGTGTTAACTTTTGGATAGCAAAAGGACTTTTTCATCTTCTTAAATCTCCTTTATGCTTTTTTGCATTTCTCTGAAACCTGGTAAGCTTAGATGATTTTGAGGTCAGTTACAAGCATGTTAACAGATTCCACAGTTAAACTCTGTGTTGTTTCTTAATTTCTATCTAGAATAAGTACCTGTATTCAGAATTGGAAAATTCTTTCATACATTCTCTTTGATTCTTTAGCTGAAGGAGACACAAGTATAAAAGAACTGTCAGCAGTATTTTCAGTTATGTCATCATGCTAAGTTTACAAAATTCTCATATTGTAATACAGATTTCGCAGCAACAGTAGGTGTATGGCAGTTCTTGCCTGTATTCTTTCCATCAGTATAAAAAGTATGTTTTTATTTTCAAAAGACAGTGCTGCCTTATAACTTATTTTGTTTATATATAGTCATAATTTATATACAGTAAGATTCACCCATTTTAAGTGTCTTATTTAATGAGTTTTGACAAATGTATACAGTTGTGTAACTATACCATGTTCATCCCTGCACAAGTTCCCTCATGCTCCTTTACAGTCAGTCACTCCTCCTCAACCCCTATCCCTAGGCAACCACTGCTTTGCTTTGTGTCATTATAGATTGGATTGCATTTTGTAGAATTTTGTATACAAGGAATCATATAGTATGCACTTTTCTTTTGGTCTGACTTCTTCTATTAAGTATGATTATTTGAGATTTATCCATGTTTTCATGTGTTTCATTCCCTTTTATTGCTGACTCATATTCCATTGTATGGTTATACTACATTTTATCTATTCACCTGTTGATGGATATTTGGGTTGTTTCCAGTTTTTGGGTATTATGAATACAGCTATTGTGAACACTCACATACAAATCTTTGTATGGACATATGGTTTTATTTCTCTTGATACCATACTGCTTTGTTTACTGTAGCTTTAATGTTCTTTCTCAAAATTGTTTTAGCTATTCTAGATTGTTTGCATTTGCATATAAAATTTAGAATCAGCTTGTCTGGTTTCTACAAAAATGCCTGCCCAGATTTAGATTGGGATTATATTGAGAATGTAGATCAATTTCAGAAGAATTGATGTCTTAAAAATATTGTCTTCTGATCCATGAACATACATATCTCCCCATTTATTTAGCTCTTCAGTTTGAGCAGTGCTTTGTAATTCTCAGAGTATAGTCTTGAATATATTTATTTTTATTTATTGATCTTTTTTAGAGATGGGGTTTTAATTGTGTCATCCAGGCTTGAGTGCAGTGGCACAATCATAGCTTACTGCAGGTTGAATTCTTGGTCTCAAGTGTTACTCCCTCCTCAGCCTTTTGCCTACCTGGGATTATAGGCACAAGCTACCCCATTGACTTTGCACATATTTAAAGTTGTTTGGGTTTATTTTCAAACTATGAGAATGTATAAATCCCCATTTTTATACGTAGCTAATGTTTGTTGAGTAATAACAGCTAACACTTACATGGTGCTTACTATGAGTCAAGAACTTTATATTAAATTAGCACATTTGGGCCGGGCACAGTGGTTTATGTCTGTGATCCCAGCAGTGTGGGAGGCCGAGGCAGGGCATCACAAGGTCAGGAGTTCGAGACTAACCTGGCCAATATGGTGAAACCCCATCTCTACTAAAAATATCAAAATTATCTGGGCATGGTGGCAGGTGCCTGTAGTTCCAGCTACTCAGGATGCTGAGGCAGGAGAATCGCTTGAACCCGGGAGGTGGAGGTTGCAGTGAGCTGAGATCATGCCACTGTACTCTAGCCTGGGCGACAGAGCTAGACTCTGTCTCAAAACAAAACAAAAACAAAAACAAAAACACATTTGTCACAGCAGCCCAGTGAATAGGTACCATTATCATTTTCACGTTTTCCATGAGGAAA